TTGGGTTTATGACTCACTTTTGGCAAGTCTAACGAGGTGGAAGTAATGCCGTGTGACTTTCGGGGTTAGGTGAGAAGCTTTGCAGCTCGTTAGAGTTTCTTGGAATACTTGTTCTTGGGATGCTACCTCTTGGAACCCAGATGACAAGCTGTGAGAAACTCAAGCCACACACACAGGTCACACGTTTTCCTGTGGTCACCGTCCCCATCTGAGCTACCAGCTGACAGCCATCACTACTGTCAGCTACGTGAGTGAGCCATCTTGGATGTCCAGCTAAGACGGCCAGCCAAGGCTTGAATAAGCCCTCACAGAGTGGCCCCAGCAGCTGTCTGACTGTTACCCTATCAGAGTCCCCAAGGAAAACTGCCCAGCTGAGCTCAATAAATCCACGGAAGCATAAGATAATGGGTTGCTCTTTGAACCTATTAAGTTTTAGGAGAGTTTGTTACACAGAAGTTGATGACTGGTACAAAATATGATTATATCTTAAATATCAGCAAGGTTTTAATTTTTTTCACAGTTGTTACTTGCCGTTTTGAAGTCTCAGTTTTTTGGTTTATTACTTTTGATGTGGCATAAACTTCATCCTTTCAAATAGCTTTGTGGAATAATATTGCTTTCATTAGTTTTTAAATCATAAACTTAAGATGAAATTCTTAAGTGTATTGTCATCCCTTTTGTAGTCTGGTGAAGCCTACCGAAGTCTTTTATTTTTAAGTGAATAATAGGAAATTTGTAGAATCACAAAAGAAACTAATCATAAAAGAACATAGTTTTTGGAATACTTTAAAAACCAAATCTGTGATGTAGCAATATGTGCATGTCTATTAATACATTAAATAATACTAATGATGGGCACAATTCTCATAATTTCGAAGGACCAATAAACATAATTTTCTAGTATTTTGTAACATTTTAGTGTGAACATTTTTAAACATGCAGCAAAGTTGATCCCACAAAGAATACCAGTATACTCATTGCCTAGATCCTTCCATCGACATGACTTATACTTGTTTTATCATGTTATCTATCTAATCATCCATCATCAAACAGTCTTAATGTTTTTATACATTTTCCATGTAAGTTGCAAAGCAAATTGCAATTCTCCCTAATAATTCAGAGTGTGTATAATTAGCTAGAAGATGGACATAAGATTGGAATTGTGATATATGTGAAACTGTTGTAATCTGATGGGAAAATGTCTGTGATTTCTATTGCTGACATTACTAAGTATTGCTGATATCACTATGGCTTGTCACTAGTATTCATAGTTTAAAGCAATGCTAATTTTCTGTCAGAAGTTACTGAAAATAAAGGTGTAAATTTGTTCACATTCAAGTTCATGACCCTACCTATTAATAGACCCCATGGGGTCCAAGATCTCCGAGTTAAGGAGACCTAATAAATGAAATATGCAGACAGTCCATGAATAAGTTAAAATTCACGGAAAATATATAAAACTAACATAGGCATACTTTAAAAATCAAGTCAGCTGGGCATGGTGGCTCACACTTGTAATCCCAACACTTTGGGAGGCTGAGGTGGGTGGATCAGTAGAGGTCAGGAGTTCGAGACTGGCCTGGCCAAGATGGTGAAACTCTGTCTCTACTAAAAATAGAAAAATTACCCAGGTGTGGTGGCGTGTGGCTGTAAGCCCAGCTACTCAGGAGGCTGAGGCACAAGAATTACTTAAATCTGGGAGGTGGAGGTTGCAGTGAGCTGAGATTACATCATTGCACTCCAGCCTGGCCAGCAGAGCAAGACTTTGTCTCAAAAAAAAAAAAAAAAGTGAAGTCACAAATATGAATTCTGACCTTTTTACCTTTAACATTTTACAGTGGAATTAATGAAAGGAGCATAGAATACTCCAAAGAGTCACAGAGAAGGAGAAAGGAGAGTTAGTGATTTGACTTCTGTATAAGCTAGAGCTGCTGTAACAAAGGTACCAAAAAAATGGAGTGGTTTAAGACAACAGAAATTCACTCTCTCACAGCTCTGGAGCCTGGAAATCCAAAAACAGGCCAGGCACAGTGGCTGATGCCTGTAATCCCAGCACTCTGGGAGGCCAGGGCAGATCACCTGAGCCCAAGACTTTAAGATTAGCCTAGGAGACATAGCAAAGCTCCATTCCCATAAAAAATATAAAAACCAGCTGGGCGTGGTGGCATGCCCTTGTCATCTCAGCTGCTTGAGAGGCTGAAGTAGGAGGATTGCTTGAGCCCAGGAGGTGGAGACTACAGCGAGCTAAGATCATGCCACTGCACTCCAGCCTGGGTGACAGAGTGAGACCCTTTCTCAAAAAAAAAAAAAAAAAAAAAAAAAAAAAAGAGCTGGGCTCGGTGGCTCACGCCTATAATCCCAGCACTTTGAGAGGCCGAGGCGGGTGGATCACGAGGTCAAGAGATCGAGACCATCCTGGTCAACACGGTGAAACCCCGTCTCTACTAAAACTACTAAAAATTAACTGGGCATGGTGGCACATGCCTGTAATCCCAGCTACTCAGGAGGCTGAGGCAAGAGAATTGCCTGAACCCGGGAGGCGGAGGTTGCGGTGAGCCGAGATCGTGCCATTGCACTCCAGCCTGGGTAACAAGAGTGAAACTCCGTCTCAAAAAAAAAAAAAAAAGAAAGAAAGAAAACCCAGAGGTGTCGTTAGGGCCATGCTGTTGCTGACAGTTGTCGGGGAGGATTCTTCCTTGCTTGTTCCAGCTTCTGGTGTTTGCTGACAATCCTGGCAATCCTCAGCTCCTGCATGCATCCCTCTGATCACGTGCTGTCTTCTCTCTGTATCTTTACATCATCCTCCCTCTGAACAGCTCTATCTCTGTGTCCAAGTTTCCTCTCTTATAAGGACACCAGTCGTATTGGATTAAGGCCCACCCTAGTGACCTCATTTGAACCTGATTATCTCTGTTAAGACCTTAATTTCTAAATCAGGCCACATTCTGAGGTCTTAAGGCCTAGAATTTCAACACAGCTTTGTGTGGTGTCGACATCAGAACATCATGATTCGTTGGAATACAAATTCAGGTGTACTTTGAAACTAAATATTTCTAGAATTAAATTTGTCCAGAGTTACCTGGTCTGGTCTTACATTCACACAACTCTCTTGTAACACTGCGTTTGTGCAGGATATCCCTTTATGATGTTTAAGAACTCTGAAATGTAAAAAGTACAAATAAGTCATCTTTTGCATTCATTAGTCCAAACAAATTGCTTAATTCATTTTTAGCAGTATTATATTGCCGAAAATTTTAACCGAAAATTATATTCAAAATACTGTTTTAAATTTCATAATGGAACTGTAGCCAATTAGTCAACAATAGCTATTGAACAACCATGAGTACTGTATTCCCTGAGAAGAAAAATAAGTCGTCTTTAGGCACTTATAGTAAAATGAGGCAAATCAGATTGACATGCACACACACGGATACCCAGTAGACTCAGAATCAAGGCACTCTTTTATTTAAAAACTCCTTTTCTCAGCCAGGTGTGGTGCCTCGCACTTGTAATCCCAGCATTTTGGGAGGCCGAGGTGGACAGATCACTTGAGGTTAGGAGTTTGAGACCAGCCTGGTCAACACGGTGAAACCCTGTCTCTGCTAAAAGTACAAAAATTAGCCAGTCGTGGCAGCGCACATCTGTAGCCCCAGCTACTCAGGAAGTTCAGGTGGGAGAATTGCTTGAACCCAGAAGGCAGAGGTTGCAGTGAGCTAAGATCATACCACCGCACTCCAGCCTGGGCAACAGAGCAAGACTCCGTTTCAAAATGAATAGGTAAATAAGAGTAAGATACAAAATTTTGTCTCCACTTTTGTGTCTATTTTAATTTTTTCTTCTGATTTTGATCTGATTAAAGATTTCATTAATATCTGCAACTTTAGTTGTAATACCAGGTTTTACTCTTTTGAGACAGAGTCTTGCTCTGTTGCCCAGGCTGGAGTGCAGTGGCGCAATCTTGGCTCACTGCAACTTCCACCTCCCGGGTTCAAGTGATTCTCCTGCCTCAGCCTCCTGAGTAGGTGGGATTACAGGCATGCACACCACACCCAGCTGATTTTTGTGTCTTTAGCAGACATGGGGGTTTCACTATGTTGGTCAGGCAGATCTCGAACTCCTGACCTCGTGATCCGCCCACCTCGGCCTCAGAGAGTGCTGGGATTACAGGAGCGAGCCACCACGCCCGGCCCAAGTTTTATGCTGGTTAATACTGCCTCTACCCAAAACCAAAAAAAAAAAAAAAAAAAAAAGGAAATTAAAAATCATTCAAAATTAGTCTCATGAAGTTGTCTTCCTTTTGAGTAAGATTTTTTGAAACTGTAAAATACCTCAAAGAACATTTTCAGCAAATGGTAGCTATTATAATTGACTGTACATACTGCGTGGATAGCACAGAGTCATCAGTGGCTTAAGCCCATGCTGACAGCACTGATACTCGTGTGGTTAGCTGTGTGACCCCTTTAGTTGTTTTATCCTTTATAAAATTTTACTCCAAAATACATTTTCTGAGGAGTCCTGAAACTTTATTACTTTTAAAATAAGTAGGAACCATAATTCCAAAGAATTCTTAGACACATAAGGGCAACATATGGTCCTTTAAAAATATATAGATGAGCAATTCTTTTAGAGTAGGTTGCAAGAGACTGAAAGAAAAAAATCCAGATGCCATTTGATTTCAGTGAGAGAGGAGTCTAAAAAGCATTGCTTTGACTTAATAGATCTTTTCTGAGAGGTATATGACATCTCTATGTCTTTGTTTCCTTCTCTATAAAGTTTTGTGGGTGTTTTGTTTTAGCTTTTGTCGTTGTTGGTTGTTTGTTTTTGCCTCAGACTCCCGAGTAGCTGAGACTATAAGTGCATGCCACCACGCCTGGCTAATTTTTGTATTTTTAGTAGAGATGGGATTTCACTGTGTTGGCCAGGCTGGTCTCGAACTCTTGACCTCAGGTAATCCACCTGCCTTGGCCTCCCAAAATGCTGGGATTACAGGCATGAGCCGGTGAGCCTGGTCTTCCTTCTTTTCTTTAAAATGTTAATGTTAATACCTATTTCTGTGATTGCTTGAGACTAGGCATATGTTAATTTCTTTGTGCATATAATAGAAACTCAAGAAAAATGACACCCCATTTCCTCCCCACTCTGTCACCTTCCATCATCTCAACCTCTTGGTCAAAGTGACCATCCTGCTGGGAAATAAAACTCTCAATGAAATAAAATAATAACATGTTTTTCTTCTGTAGTAATTGACCTTTCAATCTAAAAGAACATAAGAATTTGGAAGAAAAAGTAAAAACTGAAATAGATGGTTCCTTCCACTTCTATTTGTTTCTGAGCAGCTTCTAGTGGCCAAATGTTTCTTGGTAGCATATTCTCTCCAGCAGAACCTTCCAGAATGCTTCAGTCCAGTGAAGAGAAGGGCAGCAGGCTTTCTAATCACACGGTGTTGCTTGCTGAGGGGGAAGGCAGACGTCCGCATGTATAATCCGATTTCATCAACTCACACTAATCACTACTGATAGTAGCAAAATTTAGCCTGGATCTGCGCCGTTAATCTAGATTGACAGGAGGTAAAAGGAGAGGAACGCAAGGGCACAGGAACAAAGGGCGGAGCACCAGCACTGATTTCTAGCCTTGCTCTTCCATCTGGGGCTTCTAATTTGCTCCCCTTTGGGTCTTCTGTTTTTCTTACCTTATACACAAATATCCCCGGTTGTTAGGATACCAGCCTTTCACAGAGCGGTTTCATCAACAACAGGTGCACAGTGAGCTTCTGGGACTGCAGGGAGAGCGATAACCTACGTGCTGAGGCTGCGCAGAAGGTACTTACAGGTACTCATTGTACCTGAGACTATGTATTATTTATTGAAACTGAGCCCTGAATTGTCTTTATCCTCTGAGCGGCACTAGTGCCTCCTAAAATGGATGCCAACAGCAGCTAATCTACAAGGGCTCCTACCTGCTCCTTGCTCTCATTATTTTTCTTAAGAGTAATTGTAAGTGGTAGCTACCGAGCTTCTGATGAAAGCTTGGAGAATCACTGGGAATTGCAATTGAACAGCTGGGAGAGGAACACCTCTGTGACTTTGTACGTTTCCACGTGGACTCAAGTTTTAATTTTTTTAAGGGACTGCTCCACTTTGGATGTTGTGGCTCTACAAAAGATAGCATGTTGTAGGTTCTGCCTCCATAGACTGTGATTATAGTGGGAGCCTGTGATGTGCGTGTTTATATGTTTCATGAGCAAAAGGAAGATGGGCTACGGGAAGGTTACTTTTGCTGTTACTTATGATACCTTTGTCTGGCAAACCAGAGAACTTTTTGCATTTGGGTAACAAAGACATTTGGAATATATTCCATTGGATTTTCCATGCTGGTGAAGCTATTGTGGACTGCTTCATTACTGTATGCTGCCATGCCAAAATCACCTAAGGGCAAAAATGTCTCCTGGGTAAGTAGATGATGATTTGATATCTCTTAAAAATTATATTTTAAGCTGAAACACATGCTTTAGGAACATCTAGTTGTTTCATGTTGTAAGAGTATCTGGAAAACCTTCAGAAAGCACTTGTCTTAGAAAAGCATATAAATATCTTTGTAAGTGTTAGAAATCCTTTGGCAAAGTCATGGTGGCGTGCTTGCTAAAATATGAACTATAAGACATGTAAACACTCAAGTTTATATTGCCATTTTTAGGCTTCTGGGTTTGCTTCACCTTTGCATACACATACAGAGTTCAAAATGCATTCATACAAGGTCAAGGTTATGATTTTATATGTTTTCAACTGCAAAACTTTTGGGTTCAATAAAGATAGTCTAGATTTCTTTTGAGGGGTAAGTCAAATGTTAAGGGTGGAATATACAGTTTTCATTATTCAATGATATTGTTGGGATGTTCCTTTTGTTTTTCTTGGAAACAAGATAGCATAGCTCTTTCTCAATTTTACATATCTGAGTAATTTCCCTCAATCAATGATAGACATGTATAGTTAAAGTTTAACATTTCAGTAATAACAATAGCATGTTAATCCTTATCAAATGACTCCTCAATATTGTTTCAAGGTGGCCGGGCGTGGTGGCTCATGCCTGTAATCCCAGCACTTTGGGAGGCCAGGGTAGGCGGATCATGAGGTCAGGTGTTCAAGACCAGCCTGGCAAATATGGTGAAACTCCATTTCTACTAAAAATACAAAAATTAGCCAGGTTTGGTGGCAGGCGCCTGTAGTCCCAGCTACTCAGGAGGCTGAGGCAGAAGAATCGCTTGAACCCAGAAGGTGGAGGTTACAGTGAGCCAAGATCATGCTGCTGTACTCCAGCCTGGGTGACAGAGAGAGACTACGTCTCAAAAAAAAAAAAAAAAAAAAGAACATATATATATATATATATATATATATTGTTTCAGTGTAGTTTCCTACCAAAAACACAAAACATACCAGATTGAGTTCAGAATAATGAGAACAATCTGTAAACTCTTAAGAAACAGGGCTTTAGTTTCCGGCTATCGTGTTAAGTGAGCTTGATACATTAAACTTAATAGGCAAATGGATTCCTTTCTATTCTCTACACAAAGTTGTGTGTCTAAACATCAAAGTTTTGGCCATCACCAGCCCATGCAACCTTAACCATACTCATGATAGAATTTATTATTAGATTATGATTGTCTTCCTTAAAATATTATAGGAAAAATAAATAATTCAATCTTTTGGGTCAAGAAATAATTTTACTACTGTAATTTGAAATCCATCAATTAGGTAATTCTTACTTTATATGAAATAGCACAGTATTTGTCTAAAAATGTTTGTTGGGTTTTTTTTCTGTTATAGACAGTTATTCTTTAACAGTACTTAATTAAAAGAGGTTTACCTTTTTTGAAATACAACTCTCAAAATTATTTCAGAAAAATTGACAAACTTTTTAAAGTTAATTCATTTTTAAAAATGAAGACATTCTGTCTTGATATTATTGTTACTGTCGATTCTTCACTTCCGCTTAGTAAAACCAAGAGATATGATTCAGGGACGTTTGGCCTAACTGGTGAGTTTCTTTCCCTCCTTATACGGATGGGTCCAAGGACGACTTCTGATGCCCAGATGGGAGTTTGCGACTTTCTGCTAGCACTCAAATATTAAAGGAGTAGTTTCAGAAGTACATCCCTCCTTCATCTGATTAATCCTCCTAAAAGATTAATTCTCTCAAAGTAGTTCTTGCCTAATGGCGTGTTTCTACCATGAAAGCAAAACTTGAAACATTAAGCGCATACCTGCCCTTGGGTTAGGTTTATTTCATACTCAATTATGCTAATATTTTTTTAAAAGTTCAAGTTGTTGGCTAAAAATTTAGAAGCACTTATTTCAAGAGAGTCAGAATAGTCTCGCTTCCTCAGGTTAAAAATTTCACCGTGTGTCCCACACTATTAGAAAGTGCCTCTGTACCATTGAAAGTTTGTTGAAAGTTTGTTGAAAGTCACGTTACGAGTTTAATAACTGCCGCATGACAGGGAGTACAGCCCTTTGCTTGGTGTGTGCTGGTTATGCAGGGATCCAATCATTCATGTTAATGACTATGATAAAATTCCTTATTTTGACTTTAAGGCACGGAGAGAGACTTCGAAATGTTGATCATTGCTTCGATTTTCATCAATCGTGGTCATTTTAGACATTGAATGACATTTCTTTACATTTTTTGGCTATGGGAAGTGACATGTATCTGGTCTTCCTGCTTTTGCAATCATTGGTCAGTTTCCATTTGGACATTTACTTAGACTTGAGGTCAGGAGGGAATAAAGTGATTCCTCTTGTCTCTTTCACCACATAGTAAACTTCCCCATGATGAGAGAAGGTCATGTCACTCTTCCTCCCTGGCTCCTCCAGCATGTTTCCTAGACCTGCTTCCCTCCATGCCATACACGTAACACATCTTGTGGAACACCAGAAGCCCCAGAGTGGACCACCACCTTCTTTCTCCTGTTCATGCCTGGTCAGCATGGTATCCGGGCAACGGGTTAAACTGTGCTTGACAGTGTCCCTGTCTGTGCAGTGGAAAAGATGATAGCAACCACCATTTTCTCTGAGATGTGCTGAGGATGATCAGATCAGCCTGGTACCAGGGATGGACAGTCATTCAACAAATATTCATGGAGTGCCCCTTCTGTGATACTCTAGGGACCGAGAACACAGCAGTGAAAACAATCCTTGAAAATCCCCAATGTCATAGAGCTTCCCTTCTAGGGAAGGGAGAAGGACAAAAAGCAAATACATAAGTAGTGCATCAGATGGTGAGTAAAATAGAACAGGGAAGGGTTAGGAAGTGCCAGGAATTGAGAGGCGGTATTGCCAATTGGTCTGTCAAACCTGTTTGAGCAGAGACTGGAAGAAGGTAAAGAATCAGCTGTGGGGAAATGTGGGACTCAAGCATTCCCCGCAAAGGAAAAATGCTCCGATGCAAAGGCAGGAGCCTGCCCGTAATGTGAGGAATGGCAGGAAGGCTAATATGGCCAAAGCGTCAGTTTCCTATGTCTCTTGTATGTATTCGCATACATTAAGTAGTTCTTTCACGGGAGATTTCAAGACAGGCCTCAGTCTTGCTGTTCAAATCTCCAGGGAATTGTGACATGTGAGAACTTCATACGAAGGTGCACACCGGCACCTGCCAATGAAGGTGACAGGTGACAGAAGGAGGGGGCAGAGCACAGCAGGAGCCCATCTGATCACCCCAGCACATTCAAGCTTCATCACTAGCCCTCAAGAGTTCAGAATTTTGTTATTTTTATTTTTTACTGATATTGTGGCAGTTTTACAAATGAGCATTACGGTGTTTTTATCATAAGAGAAGTTAAAAGAAATTTAATATTAAAGATAGTTTTTAAAGGGGGGATTTAAGGATACAGATGAATGGGACACAGCACTTCCGATAATACTGCATGCTTTTTGTTAGAAAATAGTACACGATTCCGAACTTTATTGTGGAATCTCCATATATTATTTAACTATAAAAACCCTTCCTGGCTGGGTGCGGTGGCTCACACCTGTAATCCCAGCACTTTGAGAGGTCGAGGCAGGCAGATCACGAGGTGAGGAGTTCGAGATCAGTCTGGCTAACATAGTGAAACCCCGTCTCTACTGAAAATACAAAAAAATTAGCCAGGTGTGGTAGTGTGTGCCTGTAATCCGAGCTCCTCCGGAGGCTGAGGCAGGAGAATCGCATGAACCCAGGAGGCAGAGGTTGCAGTGAGCCGAGATCACACCATTGTGCTCCAGCCCAGGCAACAGTACGAGACTGTCTCAAAAAATTTTAAAAAATCATTCCTGAAATCTGTTTTTTGAGACATGATCCTGCTGCCACTTGTTCATGACAACTGTGTGGACCCCTTGTGGCTGTAGCCCTGAGTTTATACCACACTAACCGGTTGTGTTGAAAAGTCACTTTGCCTTGGCAATACAAAAATGATGGACTCCACTTAGGATCCTGACGCTGGGCAAACTCCCTTGCTGTTCTTTTAATTCTCAAGGGCTGAAATCAATCACACTGAACCTCCGGCATTCCAAATCCACGGTCTTACATATCGTGATGATGACTTGTGTATGGTACTTTTCATTGGTTGTTCTTCACTTTTTTATTGTGTACCATGAGACATTAATACCATTTATTTATTAATATTTATTTATTTATTTTTAGATGGAGTCTCACTCTGTCTCCCAGGCTGGAGTGCAGTGGCGTGATCTGGGCTCACTGCAACCTCTGTCTCCCAGATTCAAGCGATTCGCCTGCCTCAGCCTCCTGAGTAGCTGGGATTACAGGTGCCTGCCACTACGCACAGCTAATTTTTTGTATTTTTAGTAGAGATGGGGTTTCGCCATGTTGGCCAGGCTGGTCTCAAACTCCTGACCTTGTGATTTGCCTGCATCGGCCTCCCAAAGTGCTGGGTTTACAAGCGTGAGCCACCACACCTGGCCTCTAATACCATTTATTTAAGAAAATGAAGGGGAACTGGAAAGACCATAAATGAGTGACTTACGTTCACGCAGCAAAGAGTGCTAGAGATTAAATAGGAACTCAGAACTTTGGGGTTGGCTTTCTGTTTCTTGATTGAGATACTACTAGCAAATACGTTAAATGTTTACATGTTATTACAAAATTAGATGTTACTAGAAATTGGCTAAAAGAGTAATGTGACAATTAAGTGTACTGCGTAGATGAGACATTGACTCATTTTTGAAGTGGAAAAGGAAAGGGGTCTTCCAGGGACAGGAACCCATCACCTCTCCTTGGTCACTGAAAATTATTTTCATGTAGAAGTCTCTCTCAAGTTGTCAGAAATCACGGTTCTGTGTGTGTGTGTGTGTGTGTGTGTGTGTGTGTGTGTGTGTGTGTGTGTGTGTG